CCTCCTCCTCCTCCTCCTCCCCTCCTCCTCCTCCTCCGCCTCCCCCCTCCTCCTCCTCCTCCTCCTCCTCCTCCTCCTCCTCCTCCTCCTCCTCCTCCTCCTCCTCCTCCGTTTTGTCCCACTCGTCACCCGCCAACTCGCCGCAGCTCCCGAAGGCTTTCAAAAGTTTCGGAATGTTGCCGTTTGCCCTCGGTTGCTTCCGCAAACCTGCGAAGCTTCTGGCCCCACGCCACTTTGGTTTAAAAAGCGTCCGAGACGGCCCAAGAGGCCTCGGAGAGGACCCCAAGATGGTCAAGGAAACACTCAAAAGGGCCCCAAGACGGCCCAAGAGGGCCCCAAGGTGACCAGGTCCCCAAGACGGCCCCGGAGAGGCCACCACAACGGCCTCCGAAGGCGCCAGCCAGCTCCAGAGCGTCCGAAGACGGCCCAAGACGCCCCCATGAGGCCTGAAGATGGCACCGAGAAGCCCCAAGAGGCCCTAATATTCCCCCAGGATGTCCCTGAGAGGCCTCCAAGAAGCTCCCAGGAGCCTCAACATGCCCATGCCATGCACGCTCCGGACGTGCGCGCCGCGAAGCGCGAAGAATCCTGTTTCCACTGACAAGCAAGTTCAACATGCTCAGCTGTCGGGCTCTTGCTTGCAAGAGAACCTTGAGCTTGTAGTACCCCCTGCTCTTGCACCCCTTCTCTCCTCCTTTTCCTCCCTCTCCTCCTCCTCATCCTCCTCGTCCGTAGTATGACCATTACTATGGTTAATAATGTTCGCATTCGTATTGTTAGTCGTATTCGTATCATTCAGATAAGTAAGACTGGTATGACTAATATGATGACTAGTAATAATATGTTTATGGTTTTTTTCCTCCTCCTCCGCCTCCGCGTCCGCCTCCTCCTCCTCCTCCTCCTCCTCCTCCTCCTCCGCCTCCCCCTCCTCCTCCTCCTCCTCCTCGTCGTTCACCGCGCCACGCGGGAACGGGGAAAGGGATGGGCGGCGCAGCGCGCCTTCATCTCCGAGGACTCCTGGAAGTGGCAGGCGGTGCCGCTGCCTGAGTTCGAGGTGGTGTGGAAGCGGCCCGTGTCGTGCCCGCGCTGTTCGGCGGGGAAGCGGCAGCGGGGGGATGCGGGGGAGGGCGGAGGGAGGGCGTGATCGTGGAGGAGGAGGAGGAGGACGAGGAGGACGAGGAGGAGCAGGAGTGAGAGAAGGAAGAGGAGGAGGAGGAGGAGGAGGAGGAGGAGGAGGAGGAGGAGGAGGAGATGGAGGAGGAGGAGGAGGAGGAGGAGGAGGCAGAGGGCGAAGGAGAGGAGGAGGAGGAGGAAAAGGGAAAGGGCAATGGGAAGGATGGGAGAAGAGAGGAAGGATGGGGGGGAGGAGGAGGAGGCGCGCGGTAGCACGTGAGTAGATGAATCCCTCCCCGACGCGAGTGTGCAAGGATGTGATGGAATCCTTTTTTCAGTATCGTGCAGTCTCGTCTCTGACGCGTCTTGGGACATAACATTATGTTACGGCCATACATTAACCTGTGCATTAGACTGGGCCCTAAGGAAACTCTAGAGGCCCAGAGAGAAAGGTCCCTTTTTCCTCGTGATGGGTTTAACTTGATAGGCTCTGTACTTGAATTGAACGACAGCTGGGTAAAGATCTACACAAACGCACGTGCAATATACATACCGCATAGACCACCCACCCTTCGGGTGATAAGGAGGTGATGGGGGGGGAGGGAACACCGTCGCACTCGATCGATGTCACTATCGATATCACTATCGATCTCATTATCGATCTCATTCGATTGATCCCACAATCGATCTGGCTATCGATATCACAATCAATCTCACTATAGATATCACAATCGATTTCACATTCGGTCTCACCATCGACCTCATTATCGATATCACAATCGGTATCACAATCGATCTCACATTCGGTATCACTAACAATATCACTATCGATATCACAAACGATCTCACAATCGATCTCACGATCGATCTCACAACCGATCCCACATTCGGTCTCACTATCGATCTCACTATCGATATCACAACCGATATCACAATCGATCTCACAGTCGATCCGACTTTCGATCTCACTATCGAACTCACTATCGAAGTCATTATCGATCTCTCGTTCGGTCTCACTATCGATATCACAATCAACCTCACAATCGATCTCACATTCGGTCTCACTATCGATCTCTTTATCGAATTCACAATCGGTCTCACTATCGATCTCACAGTCGGTCTCACTATCGATCTCACTATCGATATCACAAACGATCTCACAATCGATCTCACATTCGGTCTCACTATCGATCTCACTACCGAACTCACCATCATCATCAACATCATCATCATCATCATCATCATCATCATCATCATCATCATCATCATCATCATCATCATCATCATCATCATCATCATCATCATCATCATCATCATCATCATCGGGACACCGACACACCGGGACACCGGCGGGACACCGGCGGGACACCGCGGGCCCCGGCCGCCCGGAAGGGAATCATTTCGTCCGGCCGCGCCTCAGCCACACGGGACACCAGCGGGACACCGGCGGGACACCGCGGGCCCCCGGCCGCCCGGAAGGGAGTCATTTGGTCCGGCCGCGCCTCAGCCACACGGGACACCAGCGGGACACCGGCGGGACACCGCGGGCCCCCGGCCGCCCGGAAGGGAGTCATTTGGTCCGGCCGCGCCTCAGCCACAGGAGACTTTCTCTCGCCCGCCCACAGCTTCGCCTCGCCCGCACGGCACGCACGAACACGAGACCGAAATCGATTTCCCGGTAGGGGGGCTCTCCGTTCCACTTCGATCTCACCCACTCACCTCCGATCATAACAGTAGCAGCAGCAAAGTGGCAGCAAATGGGCCTCAAGAGCGTGAGGCTGAACTTCTCAATGTACACGTAGTTCAACAGGTAGCTGAAAACGTCGATGACGAAATAACAGCAATCAAGATCAGGATATGGAAGCACAGGAGGAAATCTTGAATATCCAAATAAGATCAAGATTAGGTTATGGACAGGTTCAAATCACAACTTGTCTGCAAGAAATGATATATCAGCAGGAGGTCTTCCTCCAACACAAGCGGATCACACCGTCGACTTCGTATTCTTCGAACTCCATCTCTGGGGGGGGGGTGTTTGAGCGCCCACTGACCCTGATTCAAAGCGTTCATAACATCGAATATTGAGATGATTCCCTTTGCGCATCACATAGCATGTCTCGCGTGTCGGTCCATACCAACTCTGAAACGATGCCACGATCCAACCATTCTTGCACCTTCATGACGGTGTAGGGGAGATGGCGTTATGTTGGTAACTGTATCTCCGTGGCCGTGCAAGCTTTGAAGAACGATTCGCTCTGTGAACACCTCTATCTTGCGACCGAAACCTCCGTGCTCTGCGTGGGTAGCCAGCGTCGTTGCTGAACACGGTCCCACGTCTATCTTATGTAGTAATCCAGCCAGCACAATGCTCATAGGTACTGCGTATCCAACTGCTCCGGCCTCTGCGCTAAACCCGTTGCGATTCACTCGCGACTGATTCTTGCTAGTCGTGACGCACGCGTGCAACTTCCCTCCGATTTGAGTGTCTGAATGCTGACAGAGGCCCATGCTATCCACTCGCAGTGCTAAACAGTCAGGTTCATCCGCTCGGAAAGCCGAATCTACAATACAGTAGAATGCTGAACTTCCACTGAACTCTGCATATCGCATTCCTGAATGATGTTGTTGGATCCACTTCAAGCATATATTAAAAATTAGAGCGCCGATGCTTCAACTGCTTTGCACTGCGCTGACATTTTCCAACAAACACTTGAATTTCAGGTCTCGACAGTGTTACCCAGTAAAGAGCTCCTAGAAGACTGTGGGCAAGTGAATGTAGTTCCGCATTCAAACGTCGTCGGGTCGGTGAGTCGAGCGTGCCCAGACAGGTATCATGTGCAACTCCTTGGTGCGGCTAAGCTGATGCATGTATATAGATTTCTTATCTGGCGCCTGCTCGTGTTCAACTCCAAGATATGTGAACTTGTTCAGGTGATTACTGCATGTGCCGAAGGCCTTTTCCAGCAATTCCCAAAGCTCCTCTCGTGCCCTCGTCGCCGAAGACCCTTTAAAATCATCCAAATGTCCACAAACCCGTGATATACAGTTGTTCTCGCCATCGTGTCTCATGTACAACTTGTTGTCCGTCTTACTCGGGATATGCCGCGCGGCGGTCATCACTTGAGCTAGCTTAAGAGTGAACAACCTCGGCGCGACCTCCAAACCCCATAGTGGCCGAAGTATTCGTAGGCAGTGCTTCTCGTGGTTGTAGTTATCCCATCCTTTAAAAGGTTCTCAGACCTCCTGCCGTCTTACCGTCCACGATGAGCTGTACTTGCCGGATCAAGCCAATGGTCGCCATCTGGTTGATCTCGTCGAACGCCAAACCTTTCAGGAAAGCTCCTGAGACATCCAGGGCCCACAGGTCATAGTTGTTCTGACAAGCGTGACTGTTCACCACTCTGGCGCTGTATCTGGCCGCCGTTCCGCTGAAGGTCTCCACTTGAGATTGTCGATCTTTTGAAGCCCCTCGACGTCCATCTGCCTTTACCTTCACGCTGTGCCTTGCCCTCGGTGATCATGATCTTCCACTTGAAAACCCAAGTGCCATCCACAAAATTGGTAGCGTCGCGTTTTAACATGATGCCAACTCTCTCGAGCTCCAGCCACTGTTGCAACTCGCGCTTCGTGGAGTGGATGACTTGCTCACGATGTTTCCGCTGATCTTCTGCACTAAAATTGCGAAGATCTCGCTTGGTAAATTGGCTGTTGAGCTTTGACTTGGACAGGAAGAAAACCAGATCATGATCTTCGGGCGCTGGATGTTCGGTGCGAAACCCAAGGCTCGCGATATACCATGGAAGGGCAAACTCGGCTACAGGATCTTCCTTCTCGAAGTGAAATTCCGCGTCGTCCGATAGATCCACTAGGTCATGTCGCGTCTGCTGTGCTGGCGGCCCAAAGTACTCAAACTCGTCACGATCCAAACAGTAGCCTGTAAAACAATTGAGGTAACCACGCTGATCGTCGATTCTGTTGATCTTCTTGAGTGATGGCTCTGGCTTTCTGCAGGTCACATAGGCTCGGAAATCTTCCAAGGTCGTGGGTAGTGTGATAGAATTGCCATGCCTGTCACAGTAGAAATGTCTGGATCAATGTCGCTATCTGAGTCTGGTACTGGTTGGCATGATGCCTGTGCCGGCGTCGCCGGCGCTGCCGTCGAAGCTGTCGCTGGCGTGCCTGAGGCTGGCGGTTGAAACGGCGGTGGGCCCAAGATGGGTCCTTCATCGTGTTCTTCTGCCGGATCAGCTCGCTGATGTTTAGCTGCAGGTACTGGCCCATCTGAGCGCCACTTGGGATCTTCGGCTGGCATCGCGCGCCATGTGTGTGCTCGGACGCCGTCGTCTCGTCCGTCATGTTCCCGCTTTCGTGCTGGTGGTCTGTCGTCCTCATCCTCTGGCGGCGGTACTGCTGGTGCTACGTCTGGCACTCTCTGCTGAGGCGGTGCTGGTGGAGCTGCGTGCATGCCTGCGTCGACTGGTATCTCCACTTCGTCACCGCCGTTACAGCTGTCACGCTGTCGGAATGAAATTTGCACGAAGGATATCTTCCACCAGTAAGCCTCAGGTAGCTCGTCCTCGCATAGTACCCGCCGCCAGTCCACGTAAGTGCTGCCAAACTGCAAGGTGCAATATCGTACCGATGCGTGCCTATACCACCAGATAAGTAGCGAGCTGGGCATTTCTGGAAGATGTTGGAGATGATGCATACCGCAGCCGATCCGTGCTCCAAGACAGCGTCGAATATCGATCAGCAGGGACAGGTGCACACTGGCGCTCCACTATATCGGATAATGCGTTGCGCTGCGCGTGAGCTCCCATTGCCCTGCCGCTGAGACACACCAGCCGAATCTCAGAACTGCTCTCGAACAATAGTCTGCGAAGAGAGTGACTTGCATCATAGCCGTGTTCAAGCTCGCGTTGCTGGCCTCGTGGCCGCCGGCGAAATGCAAGAACTCTAAGCGCACGGCTCGT